TCTGCAGTAGTCCTATTTCATATCGACTTTTATGGCACTCTCAGTTGTGCGAGCTCCGAGATCCTCTCAGTGAACGCTACTGAACTAACGAGCTAGAGAGTGGGGCGTGCATTGCACGTGAAAATTGAACATACTCACTTCTGCAAAACGAGATAAGTGACGAAGACAAGGGAGAGTGGAGTGGCTATTTCCGGCTGCTTGTCCAAAAGCATAACGACATGAACAGGTCCTGCAAACCGGTCGGTACACGTTATCTCAACATAATTTAAAATTCCCGATCGCAATCGGCAGGACAACGAACCCGAGGCCCAATTGGTAGATCTTTGGACTCAGTAACCAAAACCCCCGGGTCGAATCTCAGGCCCCCAAACCTGGGGCTGGTGTATGGCTGGCTGATGATAGCCTACAGGTCAGAAGCAGCTGCTCAGTTCTCTCTTGTTTTTGTCGCTTATATTGTCCTGCTTATACTGTCCATAGATATGCGCCTACCGGTGGAGCTTTAGACCAAGCCTCAAAACACAACAGGACGAACAGGTCCCGAAGCCCGATCGGTGAATGCCATGGCAAAATATTCACCTCTATGCGTCAATTCCGGATTGATCACGAACTTATTGAAAATGACTATGGGTCCGATCTTATTTCGTAGCCGTACCTGCAGTAGACAAATCCCAGTCTAACCCCTAACCTCTAACCCATAACCACAGCCCATAACCTTAACACCTAACCCTGACCCCTAGCCCTTAACCCCAACCCCCAAACCGAACCCTTAACCCCTAATTCTAACCTCTAACCCCCAACCCCCAACCTTAACACCCCACTTTCGACCCTAACCCCTCGCCCTAACCATTAACAGGTGCGGCTACAAAATAAGATCTTACCCGACTATGCACCAGCTGGCGTCAACTGTCGAGTACACCGTTTCGCGGCTCTGGGCCAGTTCTACTACCTGCGTGACATGATCTCACAAACTATCAAGATTGAAAACGACCATTAACCATACCCTGCCATCCCTCGCTACATCTCACTTTGGTTTTAGCACTTTCACTCTATGGCGGATTTTGTCGCCTTTTAATTTCCTCAGAAATTAAAAGGAACTTGGAGTAGATCAGTTTATTCAAGGTCTATAGACTCAGACCGGGATTTTTGTGTATAAATATTTGAGCCGAAGTCCATTAGCCACAGCGGGCAACAGCGTAATATTCATTAACTGTCAACAGGCAGCTAGTAGGATGCCTTAGGGTAAGGATACAATACTCACAGTACAGGTAGTTCGCGGATTCGCGGGGACAATAGGCCATTCGATTTTTAGTACATGCCTCCTTAGTTGGTTTGTCCAGTTGATTTCATGCATAGGATGTTACATCGAGCAAAATTTAAAGCACGTATGCTGCATAACTGTGTGATTAATGTCCATAAGAATATGGGCGGTTTTATGAGGACTGAAAATATATAAAAATTAAATATAAAGCACGTGGTTTTTACTTTGTGGATTTTCAATTTTCGCGCGAGATTTTGGAGGGACGACTGCAATGACGAAAATATGGAAAACGATTATGCACCAGCGGACGTCAACTGTCAGGTACACCGTTTTGCGGCGATTAGTCAGTTTTCTTACGTGCGTAGCAACATCTCACGGACTATCGAAACTGACAACAAGATGGCAGCCTGGATCTTTTAAAACGTCCCGGCTTTTCGGGAGGTCATAGAATTCAGTCCGGAACCATCTAGGCCCTCCTCTCAATGCGGGACGAAGAATGTGCAGAGCTGTCTTTTTTACAGTACTAATCTACAATTCGGATACGAGGACAATCTACCAAAGTCAGTCGGGAAAGCCCGTACATAAGAAAGACCCACCGGAATCGATTAATTGGAATGCAGGCACTTCAGAGAACTGGGTTGGCTCGCCATTCTCAAAGGGATAAGTACACTTAATCGTGCAGAAGTGGAAGTGGCTTATCGTTTTTTCCCCTTGTTTCGCTGCCTTGGCCTTGTAGTGGACATTTTGTGGGTTTGTCAACTGCGTGCGCCATTGCTTACTGCCTCGACGGATGGCGGTTGAGCCTCTCGATCACCGGAGAGCTACCATCATTGCTCGGGGCACCACAAAAGCGGAACGGTTAACACTCGAGGCGTTTTACAACAATGTCCACTTCATCAGCAGGCATCTGGACCTTCCCGCAATATACAAAGTCCTACATAATTACAATTGTAGAGTTCAGGACCAAACAACCTCACTGGACTTAAGAAGGCCATACAGTGAGAGCCCGATGGCCAGTTAACTCTATGAGGAAGAAGAAGAATCTCCAGACCAACCACCCGACGAAGGTTCAATCACCTGCGCCCGACGTTACGGTTACTCAACGAGAACACAGATAAAATCCCGTTAATCTTTCGCCGAGAGGCCGAGGCAGCCAGAAGAAAGATCAGCATGAGGTTGACAAACTTTACGTGCAAGGAAAGGGTATAATTCGGTTTTAAAGAAGTTTCTAATTGTACGATTTTTACTACAGTTAAATGAACGTTCAAAAACGTCCTGTCTCTGCATTCACCAGTGTGGCTTGTATATTTACCAATAAGGCTCAAATTAATTGCTAGATTTCATGAACCCCACATGGTCTCCTCTTAATAACATGGAGAAATGTATGGTTTTCCGTACGCGGAAAATATAGGGCTTGTAGTTTGGAAACCCTGAATGCAAGTGTAACGGCAGGTCGGGTTCAAAATTATTCGGGAGTTGGAAAAGTTTTTGAAAACCGAATTACACCCTTTCCTCGAGCATAAAATTGGAAGAAGACGTATCTGTCAACTGAGTGCGCAGAAGAATGAGTAGTTTTATGCATGCTTTCCATGAAATGTAATTGGATTTTAAAGGGCATCGAAAATCAATGAGAAAAATGCATACCACATAAATAGTCATTTTTTACAGGGTATAGTTTTTGCGTACAGCCGAAAAGAAGTTCATTCGAAAGCCGGCATCTTGAGGTAACAGAAGTATTATACAATTACGCTTCACAATGATTAGTTTTACAACTCTACTTGATTAATCTTTTCGAAACGAAACGCATTTCGGAATTTCGGTTGGCATTTCATGAGTTAGCCCACCTACTGTAGTACCTTTTTGATGGATTGCAAGTTTAGATATTTGAATGATCTTTGTGGAGAATCTATAACAATGAGCATATTGCAGGATTTCGCAGTTATGCCAAGTTTCCCCTTTCTCCACTTATTTCATTTTGACCAGACGAAGGACTGGCTAGTCAATGAACCCTTGACGTAATTTATGAGTTCATTCCTCTTCACCACTATTGATGAGCTACCCATACAATAGGATCTGGACTTTTGACAGCATTAGCAAACAGGTCGTTCTCAACTACTGAACTGTCGTACTTAGCGACATCAGCTGCTTGGTATTTTAGTCTTACTTTCTGCGAAAGCTTTACATGAGGGACGAACACAGCTTTACGTATCTGATCCTAACGGCCCGTCCTGGCCTCACACACCGTAGTTCTATGAGGCCCAGTCGGTTTGACACGGGAATACGGACCTCCGTAATAGGCCGCTTTGTCCTGAATTCCAGAGGTGGGGGTTACGGTTTTTAAGGTTAGTGTTAGGGTCATGTTCAAGGCTTCGGTTAAAGTCAGGACATGAGAATAGGAACACCGTGGAATCAACTGCGAGCAATCTGCAGTTCGGGAAGAGGAGGTCCATATTTTCGTGTCCGACCGACAAAATATTACTATAAAGACAGTAAAAATGATTGATAAGTACGCAGCAGCGTCATCCTGTATGGGAGAATACAGACTAACAGCAATTTCTTCTGATGGAATAACCGAGTTTTTCCTTTAGTACTTCGTATTACTGCAGAAAGATTTAGTGTTGCTTGTAAAATAAAGAACATATTTGATCATTACAGCAACAGGAACTATAACTCCAGAGCAGAAAAAGCATGAGCAGGTTTAGGTAAAACTAACGGAAATTTCGGGTCCCCGGTAAGTCGAGTGAAAACAGTTTGCTCTTTTTGAGATCAATGTTTAAGTGTGGTAGTTTGAAATCTTAATGTACTGCATACTGGTAGATGGGAGACTGTGGACTAATCACAGCAATGAAGTACCGACCGTGTAGCCTTTCCGCTATAGAAAAATTCTCAAGAACTTCTATCAACGTCACAAGAGGTTCGCTACGTGATGTCGCGCAGTTGCCTCAAGTCGCACAATAATCAAGTCCACAAGTTCACTAAGGGCCTCCATATCACAATAAGTTTTCAGTAGTAAGTGCTTATGGCTCATCAGACTCACCTCAAAATGGAGAGGATGGGGTTCGACGCGTCACAGTGCTGAGATTCACACCAGTTCACAGTCCTTCCAGTTCAACGGCCTCCTCGGAAGTCACAGGAGGCTACGTAATTCTGACATTATGGCAAGAACTACGGTCAAGTTGCAGATTATTTGGTGCCAATGATTCCACCGATAGAATGCTGGAAGACTCGAGACATCGTAAAATGGCTGTCCTTAAAGTGGACATCGATGGCGAGGCAGATTTCCGTGACTCGACAGCTATCTACTTCATAGACGTATAACTACCACCAATTAATATCTGCTTTTCGAAGGCTCAGTGATTCACTTTAATTGAGTTTACAGATAGTCTTTTTTCCCTATTCCCTAATGGCCCTTTGATTACGAAAACACATTTGTGTCGTGCCTGCCACCGGCCAGCCGAAGGACTGGCTAGTCACTGAACCCTTGACGTAATTTATGAGTTCATTCCTCTTCACTACTATTGATGAGCTCCCTCATCGCAGTGCTTGCTACCGACCACGAAGGTAGGATGGTCAACAAACGCCAATTTATTGTCCAATGAAATCACTCTGTTCACACTGTGAGCTTTAAGGTTAAGTGTTTCTAAGGCATACCTTTCGTATGCGTTCGGGCTACGCCCATATCTCCTGACAGGTAGGTGTGCAACCCACTGATTGGTTCTAAGCCGTCCCAAAATTATGCTTTATGATCATACCGGACATGGGCACAGTTGAGATCAACATGACGGACAAAGGCACCACTGTGCACTCTGATATCGGCCCAAAGACAAACTTCTTAGCAAAGTTTCGAGATCCAAAGACACGAACATTTACCAAGATCTCTGCCAGGGACTTCCTCGACTGCTGGCAGCACTACGATCTGGACGGAAACGGTTACCTTGAGGGTGAAGAGCTAGACTCCTTTCTGCGTGAATTCGTAACTAGTGTGATTCCCGACCAGCTAGGAAGTGAACTCGTGTCGGAGACGATGTTTGAGAGTCTCAAGTCCGAGTTCATGGACGCATACGACGTGGACGGTGATGGTAGAATCAACATCTCGGAGATGGTCGAGGTATTGCCGTCGGATGAGAGCTTTGTCGCCATCTTTTGTAACGAGGTTCCTCTCTCTTCTAGTGTAGAATTTATCCGCATCTGGCATAAGTTCGATGCAAACAACGACGGCTACATTGGAGCAGATGAATTAGTCAACTTCCTTAATCACCTCTTTTCGGGAAGCAAAAAGGATGTGTCTCCGGAAAAGGTGCAACAGTATGCAGACACCATTATTGAGTTGTTTGACAAAAATAAGGATCGTCGTCTACAACTCAGTGAAATGTCTAGGTTACTTCGAGTGAAAGAGAACTTCCTTGCAAAGCCGTTAATGAAGAACTCTAGACTTCTGTGTTCCCGGGAATTGCAGAACATCTTTAAAAACTATGATCGAGACGGCAATGGTTGGTTGGACGAGGATGAGCTGGATGGCTTGTTGAAGGATTTTCTGGAAGCTAGCGGTCAAGACTGTGAACAGGAGACCTTGATAACAATGCGAAAGAGACTTTTGGACACGCTTGATGAAGATGGGGATGGGAAAATAGGAATAGAGGAACTCCGTACCTTGCTCATACATGGCATGCGCATGTCCGTGGAAGCCGAGGAGAAGGAAGAAGAGATTGAAAATGAGGATGTCTAAAAAGGCTGAAACTGTTTGCCGTTTATTCATCACATAACTTGTTTTTCCGCTGCTCTAGTGGAGGTTGGAAGTTTTTAATTTTCATTCTAGTCAGCTGATGATCTCACTTTCCTTTAAATTCATTTTACTCGAATACAATGATTGGATTTCCCGGAGGTCATTTAAATTGCTGTCAGGATGAGCCAAAATCAAATAATCTATTGTTACGCTAATGGTATATGTCTATATTTAACACGTTAGGCAACCACGATAATAGGAATGAGCTGGATTCACAGGACGATTCTTCATTATTCAGGGTTCCCTATCCGACTGGAGATATTGGTTGGTAAACCTAGGTTTAACGACTGCTGTTCACTTCGTCAGCCACATTCGGGAAGATGCGGTCAGCCAGGGGAAGACTTATGCGCAATTCGATGAGCTTTTATTGTTAAAAATGATGTGGCGCATGAATGTACGAATACGCAGGAAAATTACTGATTTGCCATAGGAACATGGCTCCTTCCCTCCGCCATAGGCGCTTATACGTCAAACTCCAAAGGGCACCAATTCCCGTGTCCTAACATTTATCCCTTTACCTTAACAAAAACCCTGGCCCTCCTAACACCAGTCCTAATGCTAATCATAACTCGAACGTCCCATGGAGTTTGGCCAAAGGTCCCCTGTAATACGGGAGTTCAATTTTTTATGTCCTTCGAAATTATTCAGGGCACTGTTACTGTAGATTTCATGCATGACACCGAAATGAGCTCATGGTGATATAGTTAACTTCGCGAAACAAACATAAAGAGTTTAAAGACAGCATGTGGAGGTACCGAATGAGTACATGAAATGTTCCATGAGGGACTAAAGGCATCATTTAAAATGTGCTCGTGAAAACCCAACATACAAAACCAACATCCCGCAGAGTCTTACGTTCAAAGTTGCGAAACAGTTTATCAATTTTAATTCCCGTGCGACAGTCACGATGATTTTCAAAATCGAAAAAGTAATCCATGCAGAGCTAAAGAATTAAATCCAAATAGCAGGTTACTGATCGGCTTTTTGTGGGCAGACTTGTTCAACATGTGATAAAGCCTGTCGACCCAATGGTCACATCTGGTTTGATGAGGATCTAATTGGGTTCATAGGATGCAGAATGACTCCGGTAAATTTGCTGCTGTACTGGGTCGTGAAGTCTAAACTTTGGCGAAATTATTATTTGCTAAATCAATGTTTAGATCAACCACATACATTAATGTACTTCACAAAGTTGTACCAAAACTGTTGGATGATGGTTTTCTCGGTATTATAATCTTTCAACAAAATGGAACATCATGACCCTATGTCCGTAGTGTTTCAGAATACTTCCTCAGGCCCTGTTCGGACCGGTAAGTTGTAGGTAGAATGGTTAAAACTCGAGCTTTGCCTTCATTGGATTTGAAAGTTGGAATTTTAGTATGCACCTTCATAAAATCAAAGGTACTTTGCAAAATGAGTACCAAATCAGGCAAATAGCAAATGTATTAAGTAGTCAAAACATGAAATAAACCGGGGATTTTTTTCAAAATGCGCTTCGAAGCGCAGCTGACTGATTATACATATGCGGAGACTCAAATTAAGCATATATTTACGATATAAATCGTGGGTTCGACTTTAATGTGTATCAGACATCTAGAAATAGAGCCAGACGAGATGATGGTATCGTTTGATTTGGTCTCCTTATTAATCTCCATCCCAACCGACCTTGCTATCAGCACCATTAACGAGCTTCTTCAGGAGAAGTACGATGAAACTGATCAACGGCTTAAATGAACGCACGTCATCGAACTGGAATTGTGCCTCAGAACTTTCTTCACTTTCAACAACCGGGTTTACGAACAAAAGAAGGGAACACCGATGGGCTCCCCGCTGTCTGGACTGATTGTCGAGGCTGTTCTACAGAGGCTCGAGCGACTGGTCTTCCGTTCGTACTCCCCAAAATTCTGGGCCAGATACGTCGACGAAACATTTGTCGTAATCAAGAGGAACGACGTTCAGGACTTCAAAGTCTTGTTGAACTCAATATTCCCCGACATCCAATTCACAATGGAAGAGGAGGACAACAACCAGTTGTCCTTCCTTGACGTAAACATCACAAGGATAGCTAATGGGGGGATCAGAACTACGGTATACCGAAAGGCAACGAATACTAGACGCATCCTCCAATTCCGGAGTAACCACCCCATCGATCCTTCATACGTGAGTGCCGAAGAGGATTTAACCGCGAACGATCTAACGATGAGAAGCCGAAGTTCTGGCTCGCAATCCCCTACATGAGGAACGTTTCTGAGGTGACAGCAAGAATCCTGAGCCCTTTTGGGATTGGGGTGGCCCATAAACCGAAATCCACCATCAGACAGCAGATAATGAGGCCCAAAGACCAGCCACCTGCAACGGAACAATCAGCAGTGGTCCACAGCATACCTTGCCAAGATTGCAGTGCAAGGTATGTTGGTGAAACGGGCAAACGCCTCTGCACAAGATTGCACGAGCACCAGCTTGCAGTCAACCGCGAGGATAAGCTGTCACTGGTATATGGCCACATACAACAGGAGAAGCACAGTTTCGCCTTTGGGGAGGCAAGCGTCATCGGCCCAGCCAGCGACAGATGGACAGACTGGTTCTCGAAAGTTGGTCCTCAGTTGACACAATCGACAGAGCCATTGATCTTTATCCGGCCTACCAGGCGCTTCGTAAGAGGCTCCAGTCAGTTCGGACGGGGCCGACAACACTGGCGAACAAATCGCGGCTCTCTCAACAGTTGTCACCTTCCCAGCAGGGGGAGAGAGCCAGCCGGCTGTCAGACGACGGACGCGAGACATCGACCCACCGACGCGCCCAAACAGCCGACCACGATTCCCACATGCAACGGCAGCCGATCGGCCCGACAAATTATGGGGGGAGGGCCCAGGGGCACACGGACCTAGCAGCGACAACAGCGGCCGGGCAGGGGGCAGAGGTCATACCAGCGCCCCAGCGGTCGGTCACGGAGAGACCTAAGCCAATCGCCCGCCAGCAAGCAGGTCAGAGTTCGTGTATCAGGCATGCCTATAACACGAGACAGGCGGCGAGGCAGAACAACTTCGAGCAAGCAGGAACAGACACCCCACCACTCTGATGATGGAAACGAGGAAGTTTCCGAAACGTCAGCACCAATACACTGTGGTCCATGCAATCGCCCCTTTTTCTTCTTCGTCTTC